TTAAGTCTAAAACAAACAGGATAGTGATGCACCCACCTTTCAGAAAGCAGGATATTAACGCACCAGCACATCACAAACATAGAAACGGATCCACCAAAACATCAAAAACATGGATTTCAACTCATCATCATCTCAAAAACCTTGATATTGTCGCACCAGCACATCAAAACGCTGGATACTGACATGTCAAAAACTTCAATACTGTTGCAGTAAAACATCAAAAACCTCCACGCTGTGACATCAACGTATCAAAGACCAAGATACTGACGGACTAAAACCTCAAAAACATGGATTTTAAGTCTTCATCATGTCAAAAACCTCAATGATGCCACATCAGCATCTAAACAAACAGGCTACTGAGGCACTAGAACATCACTCACCTGGATATCGATCCCATAGACGTCACAAGCTTTGATATTGTCACAAAAACCCGTCACAAACGTGGATGTTTAACTGGAACATCCAGTGAAGCTGCTGCTCCTGAGCGACTTCTTTGCTGGACGTCTTTTCTGGTCTCAAAGAAGAAACTCCAGGAAAGTTCAAAACGTGCAGATGGCTCTCAGACTTCCCATCTCAGCCTCTAGAAGTGTTTTTTTTGGACATGTCTGTGTTTTTTCTGACTGCGTGCATCATGCCTGTATATTCTGGTTGTAGCAGATGAATAAACACCAGCAATGCTGCAGCGCTGAGTGAGTGCTGGAGCTGGACGGCCCGCGGCGCCGGTGCCGTGGTGACGTTGTAGCTGCTGTTTTTCATGCAGGACGGTCACATTCCCGTTTAATGACCGCGCTGTCACACCCTCCGCTCCACACAGGGGAATGCAGTCATTTGTGATAATTGCCCTCAGTGATTTTATTCCCGTGCAAATCGTCCATGTCTGCAATTTGTCAAGAAAAACTTCCGCGTTAAATGACCCGGAGCGCTCCCATTAGCCGAGCCAGACCCGACCCCCCCGTCTGACGAGCTTGTCAGAGGTTCGTCGCGTTCGTTCGTGACCGTCAGTGGAAGAAGCATCCCGATCGGCAGCTTGAGAAAACACAGCAAAGTGAAAATACTCCATTACTAGTAGCCCGGATACTGACACTCCAACAAGTCAGAAGCCTGGATGTTGCTACAGCCAAAAGGCCAAAAAACAAAGAAAAAAAAGGATATGGTTGCTGCAAAACATCAAAACGCTGGATACTGATGCACTGTCATGCCTTCAAAACCTGGACACTGACACACCCACAAGCCAGAAACCTAAACTGGGGCACCAGAACATGAACAACCTGGATACTGAGGCCCAAACAAGTCCGACACCCAGGTGCTGCAAAATGGGGAAAAATAGATACTGCTGCAACAACACAATAAAACCTGTCTGTGTGTGTGTGTGTGTGTGTGTGTGTGTGTGTGTGTGTGTGTGTGTTGTCTCGTGAGCTGAAGTCCATTTGCGCTGATGAGGTCATGCTCTGAGGTTTAAGTGTGTGTGCTGTTGTTAGGAGACACGAACAAAGTTATATTTATTCTGAGGATGAAGGGAAGGAAAGTGTGTGTGTGTGTGTGTGTGTGTGTGTGTGTGTGTGTGTGTGTGTGTGCACATGACTCATGTTGTGAGGACACACAGTCATGAGCAAAAGTTTACATCCGCTGGTAAAGACCATGGAGATCATGACAGCCTTCAATTTCCAGTGACTCCTGGAACCAAACATGACGAAATGTTCTGGATCATAAATAAACAAACAGAAACGTTAATATCTGGTTAAAGGTCCATGTCCTCCTCAGTCGGGTTCTTCTGGTTCCGTCCACCAGCTTCTGG